TACTTACAAACAAAGAGGTGCTAATTCCACAAATTTGACTAGCCGCTACGTATCGTGCGACTAGGTCTATTGTTTATAAATTATAATCCACGACTGGCAGGATGCGTGTCGGTCGGTACTTAATTATACCAACAATCAGACAATAGTCCTCGTCGGAAGCATTTCCGTGGTGGTCACTAATTTTGAGTGACGGTCGGGGCCGACCGGCGTGGCGAACAAAGCTTTTTCACATCTGATATTGGCATGTCAAATATGAAATCAAGCGCCGAGGTGGGAACACATAGCGCCGAGGTCCCAAGTGAAGCGCCGAGATTCACAGGTATAGCGCCGCGGACCTCGGCGCTAAAAAGCCCTGGGGAGAACCCTGCTATTTGCCCAAGAGATTCTAGGTTCCCACTAATCCTATCATCAATGATAAATTGGTTTTTAATTTTGCAACAAGTATCGGGAAATATTAACCTATCAACATTTAATTCTCTTTGTTTGCCAGGTGGATACAACACGTTGGCAATTAATTAAAGAAGGAAAGTTGTGTGGTATTACCCATCATGGTTACAACTATTTTTACCATCAGCAGATGTCCAAACATGGTAAATAATACAGATCAAAACTATTGATCATTATTTGAAGATGATACAAAAGAACAAATACTATAATGCCTGGATTGACATTCATTGCTTACTTAGGCCATCCAAGTGTTTTAGTTAAAAAAATTGTTTCCTTCAAAGCTCCACGACAAGATGAAAATAAGTGAAGAAAATCAGTAAATCATTTCTTACCTCCTTTTTCACTATCATATTGTGATGCATTAAATTGTGTATCTGCATTGGGCAACTGAACGCTGGCAATCAGCAAATGATTCTGTTCATCTGACCTAAAAATTACAATAGACATTGGTATATAGAAACATTTAACAGTTGTACACGCTTGCGAGAATGCTCAAATTGTTTAAGCAACACACATGTGTGACATTTCTATAGCTATACTGGCCAAATCATAGATGCTCTCAACAGACTTCTTTATACAACTTTCCCAGATAATGACAGTCAGTTGGAGTTGAATAGATTTTGACTATTACGATGACGATGGATGACAATGGGGCAAAGTTCTATGAAATTCAGCATTTTGAGCAGCAAGCAGTATCTTAGAAATACTTACGTGTGAGTACCCAAAACAAGCCTGTGTACGGAGTAGTCTTTTCCTTCAGGCCTAATAATTAAAGAATAAAACAGTGAATTTAAAATCCATGACAGAGAGAACGATGTAAAGCAGAAGTGAAGGATAACGGTGCATCTTGCACAGTTTCAATCAAATCTGTTGATGCATGGCTCATACTATTGTGAAGAAAGCATAGAAGAGCATTATGGCAGTCAGGTGTGGCATAGACCTCTATGGCCTCGGTAAAATGCACTTACTGAATTTCATTTAGCATATAATACTATTGACTGACTTGACTAACAAAGTTACCAACAAATCATTCTTGCAATATCAATATTGTATTGTTACATTAACAAAAAAACATTTTTCATGTTCTTGAAAAACTAAATTTACCTTGATACATCTGGTAACCATTGTGCTGTGAGACTTGGCCATTCTAATGCATGTGTCATCACCAAATCATAAAGAAATGGAGTGTTTTTCTTCCAAATTTTGTACTCTTCATTTATAACTCTCTCTTCCACAGCATCATCAAACGTTTCTGATGGATGAAACACAAGTAGATTAATAATACTGTAGTTGTATTCAAGGTGCATCGTCAAGTGTACAAAACATGCACAACATTAGAGCAAATGAATTGTGCTTTGGGTCACAAACATACTCTACCAGGAAGACATTTTTTTTAAATTTAAACAAACCATTCTGAAACGATCAATAAAACTGAAATCATGTTTTTTACCCCATTATGCTTCTTTCGATGTAATATATTGTGTACAGGATACTACAGAACCATTTCTTCTTGCAATAACCAAGTTTTGTATTTGTTTTGTTGTTTTATTTTAACATAATCTCAATTCAAATAAAAATTCATGTTTGTTTGTACATTTATTAAATTTCCAAATGACATGCAACATTCTGTTCTTATTTATTTAACATTTTGGCCAAATACTAAAATGTCTAAGTATCAACAAATACTGTTTTCATCTGAAAAATAAATAAATCTGTTTCTGAAATTATTGGATTTTTTTTTTTTTTGACATGGCATGGAAGGATGCAACACCAGATAAAGAAGCCATTGTTAAGTCCCTGTCCAGTTTTAGCGACTGTCAGCAGAATGGCTGAATAACGCTTGTGTGACAGTTATGCGATTCCTTCCTATATTCTGCCCATGGCATTAGCAAGTAATTGACCACCAGCAATCTTGAATCACATTCTGAAAGGAATGATTTATATGACACATGTGTAAAATTTGAACATGATTAGTCTAGCTATGTTAGCAATATAGCTCCAAAAACATTCAATTCAATGTTATCAATATTTCACATTACTGCTCACAGGGCTATTCATGGTGGTGTGATACCTATAACGCTACAAACTACCCGCCCCAGCGACACACAAAGAAAATAGAGCAGCAATGAAGGAGAGATCTGGTAAAAATCTCATAGCAAAATATCGGGTTTCAAACATTCTCTAACTCTATCCAGGACGATTATGGTTTAAAACGTGTGATAACAATCGAGACGAAACTAAAATATTAATCTATGTGGCCTCACACATGTCCATAAGCGAGGTAAAACAAAAATTTAGACAATTCAAGTTAGCGTACAGAAGAGAACCAATAACTTTGATATAATCTAGAACTGAAATATAAATTATCCGACAAATATCAAAACACACACTCAACAAAAAACTCAGATATTGCGATATTAGCCACAAAGGGAACCCCGGCAAAATCAAAATGGCGTAAATAAAACTCACAAACGAAGAGTGACAAAGTTTAACTGAAAAATATAAACATCAAAGTAGCATACAGCGATGAAACTAAGATCATTAGTTGGGGAAAGTTTGAAATAGTAAGATAATTCATTACCTCCATCTTTGTCAGCCATTTTCTGTTCGAAATGACGTTTTCCTAACCAAAAACGCAACAACACACGCCAGACAAAATGAGATCTTTCAGAGAACAAAGTGACATGCGCACTAAAACCGCGCCAAATTTGACATTACACATCAAATGACACTGATAGAGGGCGCAAAGCACAAGGCGCTGCTGAATGCAAAGTCGGTGCTGGGACATGGTCCTGGAATACTTACACGCATTTATCTTTACTAAAATTCGTGATTATGTTCACAGTCATGTTGTACTCTGATAGGATGCGCGCCAAATTTGACATTACAAGTTCGCAATCATCAAACAATTTGTTAACTAAATATTTACTATAATTGCAGCAATGGCGGTAATTTTGTAGTTTTGTAATATGTTTATCACTGGTTCATATGGATAACCATTATCTACTCATACATGATGAGTTCGCAAGGTGAAATAAAGTGAAACATGTATATATCGTATCATGGTCGTCTTAAATTACTTTTAACATTTTTTATATTGTTAAAAATGGAATTATGCGTTATCAATGTTGTCAAAGCTATTTATGCTGTCGACTTCTGTTGTCAAAGTTCAAAGTTCAACGGTCAGCATAGAATAAATACAAATAACACATAACAGCAGTCACATTCCGCTGAGCATAAGGTTTTCAGGTCCAAGCGAAACACTTGAAGCTTACTCATAAATACAAACACCCAGAATTTCCTCATTTTGCAATAAATTGTACTCCTGGGAAATTTGACTGAAAAAAGTTGGAAATTACCATCATAATTTTAGAAAAAATAATGGCTTTATTGTATTGGATAACTGCAGTCATTTTCTTGTCAGTATTATGTCGTTTTTACCAAAGGCTCTTATTGCAGATATTACATGTAGGTCATATCTCAAATTGTAGGCAGGTGACATATGCTGAAAAGTGAAAACATTATATTTTTAAATGATAGGGTACTTTCATTTGTCTTGAATTTTACATAATAAACCAATGAACATTGTCAAATATTATGAATAGGCGAAATGGCACTTGTGTGTTTTTGACATATGCGCAGTGGGGACATATAAAATCGGTTACTATTTTAATTTCCGTTTTCGTCTTTTGACATGAACTGTCATACATTTAAACTAACATATTCTTTACTTCAAGTCACGTTCTATTACTGTAACAGCAGAACACTATTTGGGTCAGCATATTTGATTAATGTTGATCAATCGAGTGAACCTGCAAAATTCAAAATACCAAACAAATTTTAAAAGAAAAAAAATCATTGATTGCTAAGAAATTATAAAGAATACCTTTAGCCAGACCGTTACTGACTAACACGCCCAATGAAAACGAACAAGGACGCTATCTTTGCGGAATCAAGTGATACGTTTTGCATGTAAACTAAGCAATACTATGAAATGATAAAGAATACCTTCACCCAGACCGTTACTGACTACCACGCCCAATGAAAACGAACAAGAACGCTATCTTTGCGAAATCGAATGATACGTTTTGCATGTAAACTAAGCAATACTATGAAATGATAAAGAATACCTTCACCCAGACCGTTACTGACTAACACGCCCAATGAAAACGAACAAGAACGCTATCTTTACGAAATTAAATGATAAAATACCAAACAAATTTTAAAAGAAAAAAAATCATTGATTGCTAAGAAATTATAAAGAATACCTTTAGCCAGACCGTTACTGACTAACACGCCCAATGAAAACGAACAAGGACGCTATCTTTGCGGAATCAAATGATACGTTTTGCATGTAAACTAAGCAATACTATGACATGATAAAGAATACCTTCACCCAGACCGTTACTGTCACTGTGACTGTTTCAAACTCTGCAGGCTCCAGTATCAATGAGATGAGAGATTGGATAGCAGGGGCGGATACAGGATTTTTTTTTATGGGGGGGGGGGCAAACTTTAAAATCGCCAGACTAAGTTAATGATTTTTTGTTTATACAAAACAAAATTGAATACATTTTTCAATGGGGGGGGGGTCCGGACCCCAAGAACCCCCTAGATCCGCCACTGGATAGAAATCATCAGGTGTGAAAGTATAAAAGTTCTTCAATCTTCTTTTATAATTTTATATTTAAAAAAATATTTATGCAGTTATCATAAAGTCTAGTTTTTCTTTGCAAAGCAGATTCTTCAATGTTCAACGTATCTGATCACGTAAGTCCCATTTTGGGAAAACTGATTAGTAAGGCAAAATCAATCAATACATTTAATAAGATTTTCAGAATGGAAGTTCTCGAATTTCAAATGTTATATTAACTCTAAGATCAGGGCGCCCTCTCTTCGTTACTGAGCATAACTTTACATAATCATCTTCATGGGATAAGTAATGTTAATTTTCTCAATTACCGGTAGCCTAATAGAGGAGGTAATCGTTTTTATTTTTCATATTTAATTGTACCGTACCTTGACAGAACCGGGGAATGCGAATTGACTGCAATATCCGGGTCTTCAACCCATGACGTCATTATATAAAAATCAAGATGGCGGCCATTATGTACTTCGCTGGGCTCGCCGTTCCAGATTGGCGATACGTTTAATATTCTCTATATCGTCTCGCGATTTTACGATGTCTACATGGACATTCTAGTTTCTGTCATTCTAGTGTGTGCTCACTGACTGTGTGTTTTTGTCAAATTCACAATGGAGGGACTAAAACTCAGTCCCGCTGAACAGCAACTCTTCGCTGAATGGTTCAACTCGTGTGATGTCGAAAACACGGGTAAAGTTATTCCAGCACGAGCGTACGATTTATTCATTACTTCACAGCTTTCACGAGAAATATTGAACAAGGTGAGTAAATATACATAAAATGATGTTAACATTTTGCAGTTTATTGCGATGTATGAAGTGAACGTGACACGGCTCGCGTAAATACGTCCGTTGGAAGTGATCGTTTATGAAGCCCGCCCCCATTCTGAAGTGGGTCAGTCAGTACAGTGTCCTGGTCATCAAAGGGGGGAAACAATATCACATGTCACACGGTGGCGTCAAATATACCGAAACCACTCGTGAATTATATACGGTATATTTATAAATGCCGATTTGTAATGTTGCATTATTTATATGACGTTTAAGCAGTAGTATTTGCACACAGCTTAGCCACAACACTTATTAATTAATATCAGAGGTACATTACTTGGGGTTTGCAACTCGCATAGTACTGTATGGTGACATCATGTCAAGATCCCATTCAAGTCTCTTCTCGTAGATAGCGAGACTGAGGCTACGACCTTCTGACATGACACATATCAATGTTCAAGGTTTGTAATGAAAAAATAAAACTTTTCTTGTCGCTATCATAGTGAAAAATGTAATACATCGAAAATGTACAGAAAATATAGTTCTCGTAATCCGTCATATTGTGGGCAGCTATTTTGATCCACCTGGACATCCCAGTATCCTAGTTACCTCGGGCATGCGCATTCGCATTTTTCTGAGTTGGAACGCTTAAGCGAGATCGAGATTGTGACGGGATCTTGGTATCATGTCACCGTAGTTACAAACCCCAAGTAATATACCTCTGTTAATATATATATATGCAAAAAAATATTTTTTAAAACTATACAAAATGTATTTATTTTTCACACTGTAATACAATAATTAAATTTTAGCTGTTATATAATAAATCAGAGTGCAACATATAGAAATAAAAAGTGAAGTGTCTGTAAAATAATAACTTGTTTCATAGTAGAAAAATTCGCTTTCCAATAATATGTGTTGATATAAATATATAGTCAAAATGATTCTATGATAAATTCCAAGATTACAGCTTAATAAGTTTTGGGTTTGTGTCCGACAATATTATCATATTGTGCCTTCATTTGTTACTATTTGATTCATAAGTGTTATAAAGTAAAAACTGTTAACCATTTTCACTGATACAGGAACTTTTCTGATTTGACGATTTAATGACTTTCGAGAGGGCAACATTTCACTAAAGTCACTTTTCTTGATCTGTCACTGACAGGAAAATAATAATCTGTTTACAGAATCAGTTGAAATTATGCCTTAAATAGGTTTTCACACTCGTTTATGTTTTTGTTCATGTGGGCAGTGACTGGTTGGTGAGAACCTGTTGTTCACACTTGATGATAAAATAACAGTGTTGTTGTTTTAAATATACATGTATGTATTCCTGTTAATAAAACAACTAACCAGCAATGTTATCACAGCAGTTCACAAGCTAGTATTGATCAGTTAGTGACATTTGTTATCAGATATTTGCATGCTTGTTGGCAAAAATGCAAATAATGACGTCACAGTTGAGATGGGATTGGTAACAATACATGTAACTGCAAATAATATTTTTCTTTTGCTTTACATAACAGGGGTCGAAATACTCTGGTGCACACTGCACTATGCACATAGATTATTAGCTAGTGCAAGTAAACTCAAAATATAATGTGCACGCTGTGCATGTAGAAATTGACACGAATTTTTTTCATTATATTCACTAAGCCTAAATTAAGTTCAACCAACATTGTAAGACAACTAAAAAATCAATCATCAATCGATAAACCATAAATTTTATTTAAACTTTAAAAGTGGTGCATTTCACAACAAGTTAGTGCAGGTAAATTTCAAATTCAACATGCACACTGTGCATGCAGGGAAAAAATTCTATTTCAATCCCTGCATAATAATAATATTTATCGAACTTGTATTCTTATTGGAATTGTGATAACATGTTTGTATGCCTCTGCAAACAATGTATTTTCTTTCATTTTACATCTGTCACACGTGAAATAAATTAACTGTTACTTTTAAAATAAGTTCCCAGAAAAGTAATTCAATTGATTAAGTATTGATTCAATAAAATTGTTTTTGTTCCAGTAATTTTTAGCTCCTGTGTGTGCAGAGCACACAGGGGATGTACTGAGCTCTGTCTGTGTAGGCAAAATCTCAAAAACTTTGAGCGGATTTTGATCAAATTTAGGTACTTTGGGGTAATGTGCTAACATGTTACATTTTAGGGCCATGTCCTTGCATATTGATTAGCTAATTTACTTATTATCTCATTTCAACCTGTGTAAGCAAAATCTCAAACTTACAGGTTTTGATCAAATTTGCTATGAATTGGTGCTAAACGTTGACTGGCTGATGATCCTAACCTCTAATGCCATTGCTGCTTCACTCATTATCGGTTCATATCGGAGTATGTTTGGTTTATTTGGTTTTGGCACATAAAGAAGGTCAAGAATGACATTATTTGAAAGGAATCACATTGACTATTGCCGAGAATGTTGTCAGCAGGAACATTTTATATTATGAAAATTATATACTATTATTGGTGTTAACAATTACAATTATGGAGCTCATCAGAGACAGGAAATAGAAACTTTAATCATGCATTTCATAATATAGGTGATGTATTTAAACCGCGGGTCTGGGTGTATAAAAGGAAAGATGGCCGCCACTTTTCAGTATGCAAATGACACTCGAGCGTGAAACATCTCTTCGGGGTGCTCCGCAAAATCACTCTTTTCGGCAATCTTAACGCCTGTGGTGCTTTATTTTCATGTCGTACACAAACATGAATATGTCCGCGATACAACTGCGATGTTAATTTACGAGTTCGGTGCGATGTCAGTGCGATTTCCGCGTAAAAGCGACGGAAAAGCATGATTCAAACAGTCGTTTTGACTGCTCAAACTGGCTGTCAGTCATGGGTTTATGCAAATGTAAGGTGTTAATCCCGAGTTATTTGTTCAATCTCTAGGTATGTTTATGTAATTACGGAGTTGATCATGTAAGTGATATCGTGGAGCTAATAAGAAATGATATGCTGTGAGCTGTTTGTCCGTCCGTTCATCTCAGGGGACATCGTCGGAGCTCCACGAAGCGGTCCGACCCGAGCGAGTGCGAATCGCACGAGCTGGGGTGTGCGCGAGAGGGGAGGGACTTTGCGTAAACATACCAATAATTTCTGTAGTGTGTGTGCGCAAAGAAAGACATTCGCGGTTACAGGGCTGTAAAAAAAATGGGTTTCACTCTGATATCGATGAAAAGAGTCGAGGGAGTCCCAAATACGTCCCCTACAATATGTCGAGTATGCTTCTCAAATTTCTCTTCGTTCTCGAAATAAATAAATTGAAAGGTCTCACAAAAAATTATA